CGCGCGGGCCCGCTCGAGCGCTGGTTGGCCGATATACCCATCTCTCCCCCCGTCTCTCCCCGCACCTGGCAGCACGGAGCCTAGACGCGGAAGATCTCCCCATCTCTCCCCCCGTCTCTCCCCGCACCTGGCAGCACGGAGCCTAGACGCGGAAGATCTCCCCATCTCTCCCCCCTGTATCTCCCCGCACCTGGCAGCACGGAGCCTAGACGCGGAAGATCTCCCCATCTCTCCCCCCGTCTCTCCCCGCACCTGGCAGCACGGAGCCTAGACGCGGAAGATCTCCCCATATCTCCCCGCGGATCTCCCCGCAGCTGGGAGCACGGAGCCTAAAAAAGAAACACGGTCCGAACGCGCAGAAGTCTCCCGGCGGCGAGACACCTAAAAAGGAAACACGCGATGATGAAAAAGAAACACGCGGTGGCGCACAAGATCTCCGGCGGCGAGTCACCTAGCCGCACCGGCTCCGCTGCGACGCCGTCGGCTCGCTCCCGCGCCTCGACGAGATTAAGAGGAGAGTCAGAGGAGGCTGGGTCGCGATTTCGCTAGAGTGCACTCGCCATCTACGGTGATTGGGCGAGATTGGGCGAGATTGGGTGAGATGTGCCGGAGGTCAGCTCCCGCGCCTCGACGGCGCTGGCCGAGAGCTGCAGCAGCCAGGAGGAGCCGGCGGCGCTGCCCCAGGAGGAGAGGGCGCTGCCGAGGGCGCTGGTGACGCTCACGACAGAGACCTGCCCAGGCGTGGCGGCGGCGGCGGCGGCGGCGGAGGCGGAGGCGCCCGAGACACGGACAGCTGGAGCACGAGAGAGGCCGACAGCGAGGAGAGTGACGGGGGCGCCCTGCAGCAGCCGCGGCCGCTCGACCTCGGGCGTGGCGGCGAGGGAGGCGAAGTGGTGCACGTACCGCACTTGCGATGGGTTGACCACGGCGTCCCCGTCGGACGTCCGCACCCTGCGAAAGAAGGACAGGGCCGCACCCGCGTCCTCGCACCCCTCGTGGCGCGACCAGACCAGGTACGCGGCGAGCA